TTTAGACACAAACATCGATTTAATCGATTAAATCGGATATAAACACATTTTTTTTTTTAAAACCATTGTTTTCTTTTATTGCTCCAGGACCCACTGGTTCAGGCAAGAAGAATAACAATTTGTTTACGTTGCTAGCCTTTAAGGAAGCTCGTCTATCTGATATGAGGATTCCAGCTCGGCTGAACATCCTCTCAGACTCCGTTGCACATGCTGGAATGCAAAAATATTGTAAGGCACAGTCTCTAAATTGTTCCATTTCAGTTGCGTGGTTCTAAAATTAATATAAACTAAATTATTATTATTTCCTTAGACTATTCAAATAAAATAAAAAGCTGTAAGACAAACCTTCCAGTATTTAGGGGGACTAATATTTAATATTTACCTTTCAACTAAAAAACATATACATCTACTCCCTTCCTACCGGATTACCAACACACTTCGATTCTACACAAAGAAAATGAAAAAATATTGTATAAATATGCTCTTAAAGTTATATTTTATTCTTACCCTTTTGCTTCACTCAAGTTCGCGTTAAATTATGGTAATAGGGATAGAATTTTTTTTCAAGTGCCTGCAAACAAACATCGATTTTCAAAACATGAATCGATGCTTACACCAAAACCAAAGAATCGATTTTTGAATCGATTTTTCCCAAATCTAGCTTGGTATCGGAATTCTCTGCGAGATGATTTGCGGTATGCTCTGCCCGATTGTCTGCCAGATGCTCTGGCATTAGAGGTGGAGAAACATTGATGTTCCTGGACATCGATGTTTTTCGATGTTTTCAAAATAAACATCGATGAGACATCGATGTTTTAAAAAATAGAAACAAATTTTTCTTTTCTGTAAATTAAATTATTTTTATTGAAAAGATTTGGTTCATTTTATAACAAAATAAAAAGCTTTATTCGTAAAAGCAAAAAAAACAAAAACAAATTCAATGAGATCAAAATAAAAGTCTTATTCTATAAGTTTATTAGAAAATTTACTTACTGATTTCTTACTGATACATGAGTTTAGCTACGACATCAACTTTAAGTCTGGTGCGACGGTCCGATATGATCTGTCCAGCCTTGTTGAAAGACCTTTCGGACTCGCACGATGTTGCCACACATCCACCGACGTTGCCTACACCACAAGTTGAATACCTGAAAACATCTAAATACAGTTTATAATTAAATTTATAAATATATTTTTACACATACCTTCTGCGCTTCCCTTACCTTGCAAAAACATCGATAGTCGCCATAAAACATCGATGTTTCCAAAAAATTTAAAAACATCGATGCATCGATGTTTCTCCACCTCTATCTGGCATGTGCTCTGAAATTTGCTCTGCCATTTTCTACGGTGATTGTCCTGTGGAGTTTCTGCATTGATTCTAATTCTGGGAGCCACCGAATATAGGAAAATATTGTAAATTAATACAGCCACGGGATCCAAGTTACAGCAAACGGCAACATTTTAGAAAGTTTTTAGAAATTTTTAGAAAGTTTTGTTGTGTTCTATGTTCTATGGAGCAAACCAAAAAACCAAAACCAAAAAAGTTTTTTGGCCCAGCCTAATATAGATGTGCCAGTTCACACAAAAAAAGTGGTGCAGCTGAATTTTCAGCATACGTTCCCAGGTCTTCGGCTCTGGGGCCGATCGCGTTCGGCTCATGACTTGACGCGAGCCGACGGACAGCAAGCATGTATTTGTGTACGTGTAACACTCCAAAATATATGATCTTATGCATAGAATAATTTTTAGCTGCCGACCCAGTCGGACTTTATACCTTCCAAGAAGCACTTCTAGAGCGGTTCTTTTTCCTGCAAGCACCAGTGATTTATACATGACGTTTTGGTTTCCAAATTACACAGGGCGAAACACGCCAGCACCGGTACATTTGGAAGTAGGTAGGAACCGTTCCTTTAGAACGCATTGGGAACTGGTGGTTGTTGTAATTTCAACTTCGTGAAACTCTCGGGTTTCGCTTCCAGTTGTACTTTCCGAAAGAAGCATTACAGAACACATAATTGGCATGCATCGAGAATCGTTCCATAGGAACCTATTAAGAACCGTTCTGGAACTGTTCCAATGCAATCATTCCTTATCCCATCCCTAGAATGTATCAAGAACCGTTCCTTGAGAAGGTATGCAGCATGCATGCGTGCATGCATGAAAGAGCGTTCTAAAAGAATGCGAGATTAACCCATAAATACAAAAACTATAAAATTTTTTTTAATTTGATTTATTTAATATTTTCTTTACTAAAATATAATACAAAAAATAATAAAAATAAGAAAAAGTAAAAAACAACGAAAAATAAAACTGAAAAAAGATAAAAAAGAAATGAAAAAAAAGAAAATTAATTATAATAATAATAAAATAAAATAAAAAAATTAAATAATTGCCGTCGTCGTCTATGATGAAATCCTTGTCGTGGTTGACGTTGTTGTTTTTCTCGGGGATGTTGTTGCCGTCGTTCCTGTCGGTGTTTCCTTGCAAGGCAGGAGACCGAGTCTCAAATTATAAAAAAACATCAACTCTTCGTATTATAACAGGCAACTTTAAACCCCATGGTCCATCTAAGGTTAATCAACACGCTCTATTGTTATTTCACTCAAACTTACTGTGCTGAGCCCTTTCACTCGCACTTATTGTAAGTATTGTTAAGGGCCTGCTGCTGCCGACGAGACCACCTTATATAATTGCAAGACTTCGTGTAGTTTCGTTATTCTACGCTATTCTTTCTAAATTTATTGAAAGGTAACTATGTTACTTTATTGACATATAATTTCATTAACTTTCATCCTAAAACCTAGCCCTATCCAATTCGCAGAGTTTTGCCATTTTTTTACCCAAACCTCGAAAACCACTTCTGTTTTATGTAACGCAATTTTAGGTCATACTTTGGCTTATATCTTTAAAACCGTACGTTCGATTATTTCCATTTTTGTGGTGAATATAGGTCTAACTAAAGTATATTCAACGAGGATAATCTTTCTTCCAAATTTCAGATTTTTGACTATTTTTTTCAACATTTTGTCGTACGAATGTAACGTAACGCCAGATAGCAACTGCTCATATGTTTATGGCCAGGTTTATGATCCAAAACATGTCCTCTAATTCAAAGAATGCATCGACGGGTCTTGCAATGTCGGCTGGTGCTTGGTATAGGGCTGGGAAAAAAATCGATTTTCGCAGAATCGATTTTTTTCGATCTTTTAGACACAAACATCGATTTAATCGATTAAATCGGATATAAACACATTTTTTTTTTTAAAACCATTGTTTTCTTTTATTGCTCCAGGACCCACTGGTTCAGGCAAGAAGAATAACAATTTGTTTACGTTGCTAGCCTTTAAGGCCCTACAGATAATTAAAAATAATTAAATCAATGAAAAATCTAGAAAATCTGTGTAAAATAAATATATTTACTTTTATTTGAATGAAGTGTTTAAAGAAATTTTTGGGTTGCTTTCACTTATGAAATTATCCGTGAAATTCCGTTAAATTTAATGGGAAGTCTCACAGGTGATTTCATATAGGACATTTCAAAAGAGTCACGAGTGATTTCATATGGGATATTTCGAATGAGTCACGAGTGATTTCATATAGGACATTTTCGGAAGTTTCCCCAGTGAAATCACTCGTGGCATGTCCCGAGTGATTTCACTCCTGGCTTATACATATAAGCCATCGGTGAAATCACTACACCGATAGAAAAAAGCCCTGAAATTTTAATATTTTGTATTCGATTTTAATATTTATGCCATTGATTTCCATCCAAGCACGGTTGTATTAAAATTGAATATTTTTCACTTAAATTTTGATTTTAATATGGAAATATTTAAATTTAATATATTTGATATTTAAATTTAATATATTTCATATTTAAATTTTATATGTTTCATACTTAAATTTAATATGTTTCATATTTAAATTTAATATGTTTCATATTTAAATTTAATATGTTTCATATTTAAATTTAATATGTTTCATATTTTAATTTAATATGTTTCATATTTAAATTTAATATTTTTCATTTTTAAATTTAATATGTTTCATACTTAAATTTAATATTTTTCATATTTAAATTTAATATTTTTCGTTTTTAAATTTAATATGTTTCATATTTAATTTAAGTATTTCTCATATTGAATTTGAATACATTTCATATTTAATTTAAACACATTTCATATTAAAATCGAATATATTGCATATTGAATTTAAATATGTCTCATAGTTAATTTAAATATGGTTCATATTTAAATTCAATATAGTTTGTATTTGAATTAAATAGTTTACATATTTAATTTAAATATATTTCATATTTGAATCAAATATTTTACATATTAAAATTGAATATATTTCATATTTAATTTAAATATTATTCATATTTAATATCAATATGATTCATATTTAATTTCAATATGATTCATATTTATTATATGTTTTCATACATCCTAAATGTTTTTTCCCACAAAAATAAAAATTTTCCATTGTACGTTTTATATTTGTTTAATTATTTATTACATATATGTACATGAGAATCTTAAAATTTATTCATAGGGTGTTATAAATTAAATAGTTTTTAGAGTTGCTTTGAGTATATAAATGCATTGGATATGTTGTAAATTCTGCAATATTAACGATTAGATTAGAATTAGATTTGGGATCTCTTATTTCATAAGCTTGATAATGTGGGTCATATTTATAAACATCCATTTCGCAGCAAATCACAAATATTTCGTCATTTTCAGTAAAATATAAGATTGATTTAAATACCTTTAATATGGTGTTAGTTTTACATGCTAAAAAATAATCTTTCTTGTATATAGTCCCTTTATATTCAATTTTCTCACTTATATCAATTTTGTCATGCTGGATTTATGCTTGGCTTCGAAGTGCAGTCCCTTTTCTGGATATAATTAAATAGAGAATAAATTATGCATAAAAATACAAATCAAAAAGATAAACAAAAACAAATTGTTTTTTCTAAGTAAGACTCTCGCCAAATCTGGAGCTTAGCTTTCTGAATATTTTGGACATTGTTTTAGAAATTCTGTAGCGTCCAAATTCTGTAAGTTCTTACGACGCAAATCAAATGTTTGTGACCATTTTTCAACGACTACATTCCAATCTGAAATTAAAAATTAAAAAAAATTTAATTAAATTAAAAAGAACGAACAATTAAAATTAAATACAAAAATATGGATAAAACAAATAATTAAGCAATTATAAGCACTTACCATTAAACCAGCTGAAAACGAGTTCGAAGGAGAACTTTTTTGAATCCAAGATACAACTTTTGAATTAGCGGACAATGTTTCGTCGTCAAAATTAAACTAAAGAACAAATAAGGAAAATAAATTAGCAAATTATAATTACTTATGTACATATATTATATTATAATATAATATGTACACAAAAAAATAAGTGTACCTCTTTCTTTTTCCAAGTGAATAATTTCACTCTAAATTCAGCCCTAAAACCAATATTGGGGAGAGCATCACGAATATCATCAGCTGAGAGATATTTTAAGCTTCGATACGTTATTCCAGTTTCTAAATTTTTTAAAATATACAAAAAGTTTTTAATTTCAAATTGTACATGTGTTCACATTGTCAGCCAAACATTAAGTCATGTCACTGCCTATTGCCAAAACTATATAATACCAAGATATTTCAACCGGACTAAATTCAAATTCAGTTTACAGTGGCTGTGAGCCGCAAAAAGGCAAAAACAACTACATACAGTGGCTCCATAGTATAATCGGACACTTGTTTCCCCAGTACAAATGTGCTCAAAAAGTATACAGAAATGCGATAAAAATTTGTTTCTTTCACTTCTACTCTAACTTTAAAGTATTATCTATCTAAATCTAAACAAAAACTTATACTTTCTAGTGAGTCTTTCTACTTGAGTCTCAACAAATTACTTTTTTTTGTTTTTGTTTTCTTTAAAACTAATTATTCTCACTAGAAAGTATAAGTTTTTGTTTAGATTTAGATAGATAATACTTTAAAGAACAAATTCTTATGGTTTTGGCGGGGGAAAACAAGGGCGGTATAAACAAGGGAGCCTGTTCGGCTAAGCGCCGGCCCATGTAACATCTCTTAAAAGTAACGTCTCTCTTTATTACTGTTTTGTTTGCTTTGCTTATGCTCTGTCTGGTGCTTTGCTCTCTGTCGGCGTTCGACAGCCGCTGTGGGGGAGGCTCGTCAGAGAAAGCAGAAGACACTTCAGATTCGATCATCACCGTCGTTAAACGTTTTGCTGTCTGGCACAGTGACCTGCCTGCCACAGAGTTCTAAACTAAACCTTACATAAATCTAACAACTTCAACAGTCTTGAACCGGCCCCCGCGTCTTCAATCGACCCATCGTTAACTCTCGTTATCAAATCCGCACACCTTTCGCTAGTTTTGGATAAAACATATATATTAACTTAAGTACAATAAACTGTGAATACATTAACTGAACAATCATCGCCTTTTTAATAATATCGCAATACAACGCTACTGAAGAAGCTCAGTAGCTCAACATTTGGTGACCCCGACGTGATAGAAACATAAACTTGTTAAATTTTATCACAAAAAACATAACATTTTCGTTGGATAAATTGGCTTTGAACCACGGTTTTTTTCGGTTTGTCGTATGTGCACAAGCAACAGAAACGGTTCTCGCGTCATCTGCTTTGCGGTCTGCTTGCTTGCTGCTGTTTCGTTTCGGTTTCGTGCTCTCAGTGTGCATGCCTTTGTTGTTGTCGGATGCACAAGTTTAGTGCGTTTCAAACTGTTAGCTCACGCTGCTGATCTGTAAAACTGCAAGACCGTGTGTTTTGAGCGCTGCGATCGATTGTACAGTTCATGTAAAACTGCTCGAGGTTATTCACCGGCTGTTAACCTCTACACTCGCTCAGTGACTCTAAACCCAGCTTTCTACTGAGCATACACGATGGCTTCTAATAGCACCCCTTCAATCTCTCCCCCCTCACCTTTGTTCGTCGATTCGGAAGCTGCATTCAACAAGCGCAAGGTGCAATCCATGGTAGGAGCAGCACGGAGAATGGAAACTGCCGTCGGCAAGGAGAGGATTGGGGAACTCAGTGAGGAGGAGTTAAATGTGCGACTAAAGTTGCTAGCGGATCTGGTCGCTTCGTTCAACGAGCACCATAATGCCCTGGAGAGGATTGATCTCGATGAGATTGGCAGTCCCTTGAGGGAGGAGTTTGACGAATGCGTGGTCATGCTGGAAATTCGTTTGAAGCGCGAGTTGAACAAGCGGCAGCCCACAATGCTCCCATGCTCAACAATGCGGACGGATCATGTTGGAGAGGCCCCAGCTACAGTCATAGTGCAGAGTCGGCCTCGCCTTCCGGAATTAAAGCTTCCCGAATTCAGCGGGGGCTACGCGAAATATGCTGCGTTTTGGGGCATGTTTGCCTCCATAATTGACAAGGATTCTGACCTAACGAATGTGGACCTGCTCTAGACACAATCTCTTCGCTAGAATTCAGCCACGCCAGCTATCCCATCGCCCTAGACCTTCTTAATAAACGATTCAATAACAAGCGTTTAATATTTCAGGCACATGTCACCGACATTTTGGGTGTGCAGCGTATTGAGACCTCGTCTGTGTCCCAGCTCCGGTCATTGTCAGATACTGTAAATGCCAATCTGCGGGCCTTGCAGAGTATGGGGACAAAGGACCAGATAGCTGACTGCATTCTGATACATATCCTGCTACAGAAAGTGGACAGCGCCACACAAGCCAAGTGGGAGGAATGCTCGTCAATGGATAGCATACCCACAAGCCAGCAATTTACCGCTTTTCTGGAGCAGAGATGCCAGAGGTTGGAGACTCAGGAGCACGCTAAGGAAATGTACACTAATAGCAATCGGAAACACTGCCTAGTTGCAACTACCTTCAAGCCGATTGCCTGCGCGCTCTGCGGCGACACCGGACATTCGATATATCGATGTTCTCAATTCAGCAACCTTTCTCCTCGACTTCGGCTCCAGGAAGCTAATAAGCTATCCCTATGCACCAACTGCCTCCGATCAGGCCATCAGCAAGGTGAATGTCGGTCACGATCCTGCCGAGTATGTGGTGCTAAGCATCACACACTACTTCATTTCGAGTCTTCGTCCTACACTTCTCAAGCCATTCTGCCTCAACTCGTCAAATCAACATCGACTCTACGAATTCCCGCGATACCCTCTGTCGCTGAACATGCCGTAACATCGTCAGCCACGTCGCTCTTGGCCCAGAGTCATCGACGGGACGCTGTGATTTTGCCCACTGCCATAATCAGCGTAAGGAGTCGCTCCGGGATGTTGATTCCTTGCCGTGCCCTGCTCGATTCTGGATCGCAGGTGCATTTCGTCACTTCTCGTCTGGCTCAACAGTTGCAGCTACAGAAGAAAGAGTCGGAAGTTTCCGTTTCTGGTCTAGGCGATTCGTGTGCCATATCCGAAGGATGCTGCGTCGATATCCAACTGGAATCATACGCGTCCAACTATGCCGCGACCATTACGGCACTTATTGCTCCAACCATTACGGGTAACCAACCCAACGGTATCCACGACATTAATCGCTGGAACATGCCCTCCAACATACCTCTGGCGGATCAGAAGTTTCACCAGCCCCAGCCAGTTGATATTCTGATTGGAGCGGCTCTGTTCTTCGAGCTTCTATGCCCTGGCAATATCAAGTTGGGAACTGGACTGCCACGTCTTCAGGAGACCAAACTGGGATGGATAGTTGCAGGAGAGGTTTCTCCGTCTCTCAAGGCAGCTCCACTTTTTGCTTCTCTATTTTCAGGTAGCTCATCTGAAGTGGCCCCTCGCTCGACCCAGCATAGGGTCAGAAATAAAGTCCGGAGTAGCGGTACTGAAGACGGTGCTGAAGACAACAACAGTGCTGCAAAATAAGGACGTTAAAGATCCGTGCTCTTCAACGGGGGGAGTATGTTCGGCTAAGCGCCGGCCCATGGCAGCACAATGAGCAAAGAGACCATATGTAACATCTCTTAAAAGTAACGTCTCTCTTTATTACTGTTTTGTTTGCTTTGCTTATGCTCTGTCTGGTGCTTTGCTCTCTGTCGGCGTTCGACAGCCGCTGTGGGGGAGGCTCGTCAGAGAAAGCAGAAGACACTTCAGATTCGATCATCACCGTCGTTAAACGTTTTGCTGTCTGGCACAGTGACCTGCCTGCCACAGAGTTCTAAACTAAACCTTACATAAATCTAACAACTTCAACAGTCTTGAACCGGCCCCCGCGTCTTCAATCGACCCATCGTTAACTCTCGTTATCAAATCCGCACACCTTTCGCTAGTTTTGGATAAAACATATATATTAACTTAAGTACAATAAACTGTGAATACATTAACTGAACAATCATCGCCTTTTTAATAATATCGCAATACAACGCTACTGAAGAAGCTCAGTAGCTCAACACTCGGTTTTGTTTTTTTTTGTTAAACTTAATTTAGAAAAACTATTCTAAAATTTCAGAGGATATAGCCTCTATAACGTATCCGGCCAGTAAATATCCCTGTTTCACTCTTACTCTGCAGTTTCTTATCGGATCAGGACAATACACGCCTCCTAGCCATCTTTACAACGTCCTGAATGTGTCAATGCCTTCTGGAGAATGTGCAGGATCTTTTGCAATCAATTTGGATTGCAGGACATAGAGGATATAGCCACTATAACGTAATCTGCCAGTAAATATCCCTTTTTCACTCTAACTCTGCAGTTTCTTATCGGATCAGAACATGCCACGCCTCCTAGCCATCTGTACAACGTCCTGAATGTGTCAATGCCTTTTGGAGAATGTGCAGGATCTTTTGCAATCAATTTGGATTGCAGGACATAAAGGATATTGCCACTATAACGTAATCTGCCAGTAAATATCCCTTTTTCACTCTAACTCTGCAGTTTCTTATCGGATCAGGACATGCCACGCCTCCTAGCCATCTGTACAACGTCCTGAATGTGTCAATGCCTTCTGGAGAATGTGCGGGATCTTTTGCAATCAATTGGAATTGCAGGACATAAAGGATAAAGCCACTATAGCGTAATCTGCCAGTAAATATCACTGTTTCACTCTAACTCTGCAGTTTCTTATCGGATTAGGACATGCCACGCCTCCTAGCCATCTGCACAACGTCCTGAATGTGTCAATGCCTTCTGGAGAATGTGCAGGATCTTTTGCAATCAATTTGGATTGCAGAACATAAAGGATATAGCCACTATAACGTAATCTGCCAGTAAATATCCCTTTTTCACTCTAACTCTGCAGTTTCTTATCGGATCAGGACATGCCACGCCTCCTAGCCATCTGTACAACGTCCTGATTGTGTCAATGCCTTCTGGAGAATGTGCAGGATCTTTTGCAATCAGTTTGGATTGGAGGACATAGAGGATATAGCCACTATAACGTATCCGGCCAGTAAATATCCCTGTTTCACTCTTACTCTGCAGTTTCTTATCGGATCAGGACAATACACGCCTCCTAGCCATCTGTACAACGTCCAGAATGTGTCAATGCCTTCTGGAGAATGTGCAGGATCTTTTGCAATCAATTTGGATTGCAGGACATAAAGGATATAGCCACTATAACGTAATCTGCCAGTAAATATCCCTTTTTCACTCTAACTCTGCAGTTTCTTATCGGATCAGGACATGCCACGCCTCCTAGCCATTTGTACAACGTCCTGAATGTGTCAATGCCTTCTGGAGAATGTGCAGGATCTTTTGCAATCAATTTGGATTGCAGGACATAAAGGATATAGCCACTATAGCGTAATCTGCC